TGATCCAGAACCAAACCCAAACCCAGGACAGAGCGGCTGAGTGAATGTGGTCTGGACTGTGTGGATGAGGCTCATTGTGTCAGAGACGCTGTAGAAGGACAGAGTTCCCACACTGTGATCCACATACACTCCTATTCTAGAGGATCTGGAGGACACAGGGAGCTCAGTCTTTATGTTATTGTGCCTGAATATGTAACTGGAGGAAGAGCAGAACAAACTCCAACACTGATTATTAAATCCAAAAAATTGCTTCCTGCTCTACAGTTATCAGATGAATCTGATTATTATGATTAGAATAAACTGCATATGTAAGTATACTGGACATCTAATTTTTACTCAAAATTGTTACATTAAAAACTACAAAGGTTATACAATAAGTTGTTTTCTCAAATGTTGTAACAGTAAGACACAAAAATATTCAGGTAAAACACTGTATAATACAATCTTACTTTTCAGACAGTGTGAGAGATGAGGAAACTATATCAGTTAAAAATCACACAGTTTCAATGATGATTTATGACCAACCACAAACCCAGGATAGAGCGGCTGAGTGAATGTGGTCTGGACTGTGTGGATGAGGCTCATTGTGTCAGAGACGCTGTAGAAGGACAGAGTTCCTGCACTGTGATCCACAAACACTCCTATTCTGCTGCTGATAGACTTCACAGAGAGATCAGTCTTTATGTTATTGTGTCTGAATGAGTATCTGTAGGGAGAGCAGCGCAGACTCCAGGACTGATCATTAGATCCAAACACACACTCATTACCTCCCTTCCTGCTGATGCTCTTATATGACACTGATATACACACACCATTATCTCCACTCCACTGCAGCTCCCAGTAACAGCGTCCACACACACTCTCTCTACACAACACCTGAGGATACACATCAAATCTGTCTGGATGATCAGGATACGACTGGACTGTTTTAGTGGCAGTAATCACTCTGTTGCTCTCAGACAGACAGAGGCATTTATATGCTGTGTTTGGATCCAGAGTCAGAAACCTGCAATCTGATGAAGATAAAATAAACAAGACTTATTTCATGTAGTTACCACAAACATACTTTTTCATATGTGAAATTGTTCATTCCAGGACTCTGTTAATTACATACATCTTTAGTTTTGATATGTTTACAGTCTTTTTAATAACACTATGAACTCAGGTGTGATGCCTTTTATAGTTTTTCTAAATGAAAATCATGAAGTAATTTTAGTGTGTGTTTCATAGTGTCTTACACTGCAGGAACTCTGGCCTGGTCTTCGGTTCTTTGAGGGGAATAATTTCACTGTATGATACTGTGAACATAAAGACATAATTAGTGTGATTCTCATGTGAAACATAAATCTCTTCCATACTGTATTTAATAGTTTCTTCTGTGTGGTGTGACATTACCTCTGCCAGATATCTGTTCCATCTCCTCTTTGCAGAAATCCTCCAGTTTTTCTTTCAGTTTAGAAACAGATTTCTCCACATGACTGAAAGAGAGGTGAGGACTGATGGTGATGCTGGGCTGCTCTGCAGATTCAGGAGAGACGGAGAAACTCTGCAGGAGAAAAACACACAACAAGCTTGTTTTTTATGATAGTTTTTTTTTTTTCAATTTCAAATCTTGTGTGATTTGTTCTGTGCCCAGGCCTCATCTAATAATAATTTAAATACTCCAGTAATTTCCAGTATCATACACAGCTGATGGAAGCGATGGACTCCATCTATGTTTAGATCATCGATCTGAATCTGATCCAGACAGAGTTATTGACAACAACGCAATTTTCTCAACTTTTGTTCAAAATGTTGTTTTTTTTATGAAATGTACCCACATTCAAGTGTTGATTAAAAAAGCATGCACTGAGCTGGAATAAAACTTTTTTTTTAAAGAAGAGGCTCTGTTCTTTCTTTTGACATATTCATGTTCAGATATTTACATAACAAAATATTCAGGGGCCATGAAAGTTTTTTTTAAATTATCAAAAAAAAACACACACACAAACAGGTACAAAGAAAGAAATGAAGGTTTTCCGGACACGCTGAAGCTCCAGTCTGTGTACGGATCTGTGTCACCTGCAGGAACTGGCTGTGATCCTGTGTGTGCTCCAGCTGCTCCAGCTCAGCGTCTCTCCTCCTCAGATCATTGATCTCCTGCTCCAGTCGCTCCAGTCGTCCTTCAGCTCGACTCACTGCAGTCTTCTCCTGATCTCTGATCAGCCGTATCAGCTCAGAGATCCTCTCACTGTCCTCCACTGCTGTCTGTGCAGAGCGCTGTTAGGACACACAGTGATTCAGGCTTCAGTGAGTCTGAACTGAGACGGAGACAAACTTCTCTTCTTCTCCAGACTCACCTTATGAGACTCCACAGCCTCTCTCAGCTGCTGAAGATCTTTCTCTCTCTGCTGGATTCTCTGCTGATATTTCACTTGTGTCTCTTTCAGAATCCTCTGCCAAAATTCATGAACACATCAGCAATATTATACAAACCAGTAATAAAATGAAATGCAGCTGATTACTTTTATTCACAAACAAAACGAAGAAGATCCAAAAACATGGAACAGCTTTACCAGCTTAACAAAGACAATACCAGACACCAAACTAAGAGAACTGAGGGCATATTATTAAACGAGGAACTAAACAAGACACAAGTGATGACAATATGTAACTATAACAAACTGTAAACTAGAACAAAGGAAACAGGAATAAAACTGGAAAACAAGGAAATGCAAACAAAGAGCCCTTTAAACACAAACAGAAACCTAGAGTAAAAGATATATGCATATAAATATGTATGTATATATGTGCGTACATAGGGGAAATACATTTGTTTACATTTCTTATCTCCTCTAAATTTGGGGTTTAGAGTTAAATAAAAAATAAATATGATTATAATAATAATAATAATCATCATCATCATTATCGTAAAAGTTGCAGATAGTATGAGGAAATTATTAATTATTGTTAGCAATATATAGACATTTTGGGGGCAATTTATCTATTTTACAATATTTTTCTTTTTTTGGGGGGGGTATAGTGTACTGTTCAGTTCTTCTTACAGTTAATATACTGAAACTAAATATTTAAGCTGATGTTTGATAATAGGAGTAGACTTTCAGATATTATTCTATGGTAAGTGTAAACAATCATTGCGGTGTCTGAAGTCTATTTCATCTGAATCACATGCTTTCTCAGCACTTCAGACTTCATCTTGAGGAGGTAAACCAGCCATTGCTCAGTATTTATTTGTGCAATAAATTACACACACTTCTGTTCACTTGCTGTAAAATGTGGGAGTGATTTACTCACAGGGTCTTTGCTGCTCCATCAATCGTATTCTGATGTGTAGTGTGACTGAGCTCATACCTGCTTCTCATTCCTCTCTGCTTCTGCCGTCCAGTTTCATGGTTCTTGTGTTCATCCATCACACACGGATAACAGATGCAGCGCTGGTCGGTTCTGCAGTAGAGCTTCAGCGGTTCTTCGTGTTTAGTGCAGATCATCTCCTGCAGTCGTCCAGTGGCTTCGGTCAGTTTGTGTTTCTTGCTTCTGAAGAAACTCTGGTGTTGCTCGAGGTGATTCTGACAGTAAGAGTTCATACACACCAGACAGGACTTGACAGCTTTGAGTTTGACCTCAGTGCAGACGTCACACTCCACGTCTCCAGATCCAGCGTCACTATCAGCGGTTTGGAGTCTGGTCTTCTTCAGTTTCTCCAGCATTTCTGCCAGCAGGACATTGGTAGCTAAAGCAGGCCTGGGGCCGAAGCTCTGTCTGCACTGAGGGCAGCTGTAGACTCCCTTCTGATCCTCCTGATCCCAGCAGTCTGTGATACAGATCTTACAGTAACTGTGTCCACAGGGAATGGTCACCGGGTCCTTCAGGAGATCCAGACACACTGGACACATGAACTGATCCTGATCCACTGGAATACAGGCTTCTGCCATCGTGTGTGAGTCTGTGTGAAAGACAGACAGAGAGACCGTCTGCAGCACTTCACTTTCACTTTCTCTCTCCAGAAACAGCAAAGTAATTTCCTGGTTTGTGTTTGAGAGACGTGTGCAAAGTTGAACCATGAACTCAGACTCACAGTGATGTTTGTGAGATGTGAAGCGCTCCTGCTGGAGACAGATGCATGTGTTCTGTGGTTTCTGACACACACACACACACACACACACACACACACACACACACAGAAACTTGTCAACGCTGCCCCACGACTTTTATTAATAACAGTTTAAATACTGAATCGCTACATTATATTTT